ACATCTGTTTTGGACAATTCAAGAAAAAAATTCCTTGCAAATAATTTAACTTCAACATTTTTTTTTTCTAAATCCAAAATGCTACCCCAAGTATGCATGGATATTCGGCAACTGTTGCAGGAAAAAATGTATTCTCTATGAATGATTATAAATTAATATTCTTGCATTTTATTAAAATGTATGACAACTTTTCGCATAATGGAGCAAGATATGACGTCTCTTTAGAATCCCCTCTTCATTAACTGTTACATGTAACATTATCATCAATCAAAGTTATCAGTTTTGAGAGCTTTCGATTGCAGGTACAGCTCTACAAAAGCTATAAAATTCCAAATTTTGGTGGTTTTATGCATTTTGCAGAGTTATGTCGATAACCAAAAGGACACGCATGCTTAATGTCGTTTTAAGTACGATTGTCCCAAAACCACCTCCATCCAAATAAAAATTTGGCATTGTTTACATTCGTCCAACGACGAGGTTGTTCCGAAAAGCCATCAAAATCCACACTTACTGCATCCATGTCAAAAGAGCGCAATAAACGTCGACATATTTGTGACACCTCCTGTTACTTCACGCCCACACTCGTGAGATTTCCTCTTCATCAAAAAATGACAGTCTCAGCCTCGCGAGATTTCCTCTTGATCAAAAAGTGACACAGTCCCAAGAAGTCTCGCGAGGTTTCCCTTTAAACAATGTTGTCAATGAAATGGTATTCCCGTGTTCCTAACCATGCATAATTACTTTTCTCTTAGCAATGGTCAGTTCATTTTTAGTTTTGACTTCTGCAAGGTATTTTTGTTTAACCAGATTTCATGTTAAAATATAATAGCAATAAACAAATGCGACTTGTTAGTAGCATTAATAGAGTTTTAATAAACGGAATAAACTAATTCATAAACCGTTCTTTTCTTCTTATAACCAAACGAATTCTATGTTTCAGAACATAACCAACTTGTCAGACTTTTCGAAGAAATGTAAAAAAGAAAATCACTTTAAAGCTTTAAAGCCTGGGGCGTCATGTTTACAATTGAAATAAAGTAGTTAACTGTGTTTTACATATAGAATATACATGTTTACGATAATATCTTTAATGATACCCACTTTTATTTTACATTCTTTCAGTACTACTTCTTTTTAGGCTCTTTGAGAATCTGATTTTTCAAATGCCTTAGTTGACCTTTAACTTTTTTCTTTATACTGAAATAAAGTATATCATATTTACGAGTTTCACCGTGATTCAGAAACCCTCCTTTGTATTTCTTAAATGTTACTCACCTTTTTAATTTCAATAAATGGTTTCAATTATTAACAAGAAAATCACATATAGAGTCAAGGTTAATTTCATTTCATGAATGGAAATGAGAGCTACTTTCATTTTCTCATGCCATACAGGCATGGGAATTACTTTCGTTTTCTCATTATGTGTTCTGTCTCATTATAAAATCTGACCACCTTATTGGGCTTTAATTTGCGGTTACTTCGTAGAATCTGACCGAGTTGCGGTCACTGACTCATTATCGGGTGAAACACAATATAGGGAACAGTAAGGTTGCACTTGGGGGTAAAAAATTAATGTCTTCATTTTGTCCTAAAAATATTTTTTCTAAAAAATAGAGTATCTAAAGGATCTCAAACATAAACGGTTTTGTGAAATTCACATTAGAACTTTGTTTTTTACAAGCTGATAATAACCTCATTCTCACAGGTTACGGACACTACAAGTGTTGTTTTCTTTGAAATAAATATTAAAAACTGTTTATAAGCTCTAATTTTTTCAACTGCTCACAAACAAACAACATATAAAAATACAAGATATGAACAAAATTTTTACTAAAAAAGGTGGCAAAATACTTTAAATTGAAAACAGTTCTTACTTCGTACATTTTTGTTTGAAATGGTAGTATTTCATTTCATGTGAACTCTTTAAACCCAATATAAATAAAGAAAAAACTATTTATGAATAACACTTTTTATGCGTTTGGTGAAATATAAATACTTCCATTAAAATAGAACATTTCATTTTTATAAATTTTCTAAAATAATTTGATAGCTTCCTTAAGTTACGGACACTACAAAACCCAAATATTTATGATTGGCGTTTGGTTTGAGGTAAAAAATTATTTTATAAACTTCTGAACTATTATAAATCAGATTTAAATGATTATTAAATACAAAGTACATACAAATTAGATATTGTTTCAAGTAAAAACAATTTACTTGCAGAACTAATGCCAATAGAAAAAATCCACTTTAGGAAATCCTGAAACTTCCTTCTTTCACATAACTACATGTATTCATTAACTGAAGTGCAAAAGAATAGTTCTATTATTCATTAAAGTTTATTGAAAACTATTTAGAATGTAGGTACACTGATCAATGAAGTCAATTGACCAAATTTAAGGGTTACGGACACTACACAATACTTCAATTTTTCACAGGTTTGTGGATGAAGTTTTTGTTTTTAAGCCCTTTTCCTATCTTTTTTCAGCATTTTATTTCTCGTTTCAGTTTCTCTTGATTTTTTTAATTCTTCAGATCTCAACTTCATCTGTTAAAAGCATACCATAACCAATATACTTTGAATAAATATATACACATGTAACTTTATACAGGTGTTATGTGCAAGTAGAAAAGTCAAACCTTGAAGAATAAAGCTCACAAATATTTCTTCAATTATTTTTTTCTTTTCTGTGAAGCAATCTATTATTCTTCAAACAGTTAAATATACAATACTTTATCTGAAATTGGTGTAATTTTAGTTGTTTTCTTTTTTGAAATTGTTTGTAGTGTCTGTAACCAAATTACTTCCCTACTGTTTAACATTTTGAATGCAAATTTACTTGCATTTAACACATTTTAAGATATTACCTAATAAGCAACTAGACAATTGAAGCAATAATCACAAGAAATATGGGTTATGTAGCTAGTGATAATAATTTCTAACTATTTTTATGTGTCATTGTGGGTGTCCAATCATTATTTTAGTACTTGAAGTAAAGAAAAAACCACATGATCTAAAAGAATTCCAGCTAATAAACACCTTTTTATCTCTAAATTCAATAATACACTGTTTCAAAAATTTATCTGTAAATTCTATGGAGAAAAATAAAGATATTTCATTTTTCAACTTTTGGTTACGGACACTACACATTCTACAAGTTATTTACAAAAGGATGAAACTTAACCTTAAATAGAGGAATTTCAACAAGATTTTCTTAAATGTAACACCGGTTGACTTAAACGATGAAAAAATAATGACATGCTATTTGACTTAAATCCTAGGATGTCAATAGCATCTGCCAATATCAAGGTTATGTAACACCAAGGATCTTGTAAATGAAAATGGTGCAATCTGGGTTTCCCAAATTAGTTGCAATATCAAAATGAGGGAGAAAAATAAAGTACATTGACTAACTTGTTAAACAAACTTCTGACCCTTGTGAATAAATTTGCATTAGTGTTTTAACACCGCCTGTTCCAAACTGCCTCAAATTCAGGTTACGGACACTACAGGGTTTTGTAGTGTCCGTAACCACATTTGTAATGATAACAGACAAACAGTGGTGATGTTCAGGAAAATTACAACACATCTCAGCATCTATATGAGGTGTCCATCTAGGAAATTAGTTAAGATATTTATAGAGCTTTCCAATTACACAGAATGAAAGTGGTTACGGACACTACAGTTTTTTGTAAAAACTTAATTTTCCACTTTAAAACATGATGAAATTTCATTTAAATTGTTACATTAACCCAACTTTTTTCTGTAAGTAACAGAGCATTAATACTGTGATTTTAGACAGAAATCTGAGAAAATAGATGATATGGACATTATTTTTATTTGGCATAATGAGAGGGGTGAAATTATGTGAAAAATGTATAACATTGCACCCCTATTACATTTTCTTTCATATACTGAAAAGTTGTTATTCAATCCTGAAAATTCAAGCACCAAAATAATTTGTAAAATATATTCTAAAGTCTGATAATGATCATTGGCATGAAAATGTATGATATATAACAATTATTTCAATTGAAAAATGGTGTAATTTCAAAGCGCAACCGCATAACGCTAAAAAAGGTCATTTTTAGGGTACATTTATTGCATTAATACTTAAATTCTGTTAAGGCTAGATCAACAAAATTTTGCACACAAGTCCTTTATAAGTATGCCTATAAATGAATTATGATAAATTACATGTAAAGAAATTAACATTTCTAAAAATCATGTATAACAATGTGGTATTCTTAATGTGCCCTATATTGTGTTTCACCCGTATGCATCACTGCGCATGCTCAAAAGTCTCATTCATGTCAAATATGCTTTTTTTATATTAAAATGTCAATACATCTTTCCTTATAATCTTTTATTTTATACTTTAATTTTTGCAAACGTATTGGGTTTTTTCTTATGTAAATAATAATAAAAAATATGCGACTGTCAAAATACCGTGATTTATTTTTATACTTCATTTGACACACTTGTCATAATTTGATAGACAAACAAACAAGACAAATAATGAACTTTCCAAGTAATGACACACCTATTACCTTCTAATATTAGAAGGACGCTATTATTTTTGTATCACTCTAATGAGCACATTCATAAGTTTATAGACAATATGGCATATTTATGTTTTGTTGCAAAATAAAAACAAGATATGTAATGTCCATTCCATATTGGAGATGTCGGTTTTCTGAGTTAGACTTATGACCAAATATAACAATACAATCATAATGATGTATAACCTCCTATTTTGTAATCATGATAGGCATTTATATAAAAGAGTCAATATCCTTCAGGTCACAAGTAAACAACTATATTTATTCAACCCACTAAAAAAATCAAAACTTAATCTGAATTTAAAGTTTTAGGTTTCAAAACTGAATATTATTGATTCCCACCATAATGAAGTTTTGAAAATGTATCGTTTTTCTTGATAGAGAGGTATTTGCACAAACTATAGGTGAATCATTGATGTTTTTCATTTTTGCAGGCAATGCACGTATCTAACACCAATGGGCACCACACAAAGGAACCTCCTCTGTTCCCTGTCATTCATATGGATATAAATAGCCTGAAACGACTTCCAGCCTTCGATGAACCAATTCATCATGTTCAAAAAAGGATAAACGAACAACAAAACACCCAACATAGACCGAATCAAGGTCACCTTCAAGCCGTTCCTCATCATATGACGTCATCTCGAGGATCACCACCACTGGGAAATCCCCCACAACATATGCAGAGCTCTTCTTCCTTTGTTCAAAACAACAAAATTCAAATTCAGCAAAATTCTGCTCTGCATCAAATGGTACAACCTGCTTTAAACCATGCTCCTCTGGCTGGAAACATTCGGCCACCTGCAGTCATGAATTCAGCCTCGCAGTTCATTCCTCATAATCCAGTTGTACAAACACAAAGTGGCCCTAACATCTTGCACCAGGTCAACAATAGAATCCCAACAATAAATCATCAAGTTACTCGTGTCCCATTGGCCAATAAGCAACCTGCATTCCACCCTCCTATGGTAATGACACCTGCAATGAGCGGAAAGAATCGAGTGAATCCAAACATAATGATTCAAACCCAATCACGTCCTCAAACCCAACCAATCCTCAACCAGCCGATCAATGTTCAATCAGTTCCTTTAAACCTCAATCAAGTACCTTTGAATACGATACAAGGACAAGTTCCCAATTTCCCTTTCTTGGGAATGAACACAATTCAGAATCAACCCTTGTTAATGCTCCAAAGACCAGTGCTGGTTAATTCTATGCCACAGAATGTTCAGCTGCTCCAGGGTCCTCTAGCAAACGGACAAGCCCTCATGGGACCCATTAACGTACAGGTTCCTACGATACAAAATAAACCCATGTCTCTTCCACAACTGGTCATCACCAATGGAATCCTGAATCAAATAGCTCCTAAACAAAATCCTGCTACTCCTGCAACACCGAAACCAAATACATTATATTCTCGTGCCCCGATCATAGAGAAACCCGTACAGCCCGCCAGTGTACAAACTCAGTCCGGAAACAGTAATATGGACCGCAAAATTGCACAGGTAGTCGTTCATCAGACAGGGAATAGTTTTAAGGCGCCCTCCATTCTGTTGAAAAATAAGAAAGTCAAGAATATGAATCCCGCGAGCAAACCTTCTTCTCAGAAAATTCAAGAATCAAAACCCAAAAATACTATTGACATAACAAGCGCAATGAAACAAAATAGTGACTTAACTAGCGTTAACAAATCTTTGATGAAAATGGTTCTGGATAAACTAAAGCACACTACAATGGACATGCTGAAAGGGCGTATTAATAAAATGATTTCAGGAAACACACAACCAAGTGGACTCTCACTGACCAGAAACTCAATCGTTAACACAGCTTCAAAACTTTCTAACTCGCCCTTACGTTTAATGGGGAAAACACCTGGTGATTTAGGTGTTCTGAGTGGATTTCCTACTTCGCTGGATCCTAAACGAGTTTCAGTGTCATTTAATCCTGCTCAAGGTCAGAAGGTCACTGCTCCCAAAGCAACCAATCTTCCAAGAACGATAGAGATTGTCCAACAGAACTTAAATCGAACCATGCCAAATAACATGACTCTAGAACCTTTTACAGCAACAACGCACAAAAAGGATGGGAAGATGAGCATCCTGTTAACATCCAAACACACCGGAAGCCGACCGATCCTTATCGAAGCAGCTACAGGGAATATCCTTGTATCACACGTGAAAGGCCCGGATGGAAACGCACAGTTTGTAATTCAACATGCACGTGATTCAACGCCGTCAAATAGTTCCACTATTTCTTCATCCTCAACCACACCTGCAGTGACAGAGGAAGTCGAAATCGAGGCTGAGGATATCATCACAACCTCTACTTCTACAACGTCATCAACTTCAACTACTCTACCTACAACAGCAGGATTCAACAGCGTGACAACAACTCCCGGGTCGCTGCATGTTGGGCGGTGACAGAACGGCGGGAAATTTGGATTGGTTAAAAATCCAAAGGAATCGTTCCTGTCTCAAACGATGGCTTCGCTGTCACGACGCGAGGAAAGGGGTTGGCAATGACAATCACAAAGGGTTGTCGACATTAGCATTCTCCTTTGAAGTAAAAACCGGTGATGACATTGTTCCAAAATACTTGTGCTCTACAAGAAATCCATGTGTGAACAGCTTACCAGGGTTGAAGCATTATGGAGTATTTAAGAACAATGAATAAAGCAAAAAGACTCCAAAAGTGCTCTTTGCAAAATCCAGACGTGTCTGATATGATAGTTGGACTACTTGTATACACATATAAATGAATTTTGATAGTGATAGTGTGAGCAGAAGTTTTAATGACTTTTCAAAACGTGTACTTGAAGACTTGACTCATGACAAATTTTGAAAAGGTTGTATGTATGATTTGTGCATTTTTGTTTATTTTCTCATCATCTTCTCTGTTGCATGTTGGAAATCAATACGCACAAATATTACACTTCTTCAGCAAATTTAAATAACGACAAAAGTCAATAAAACCGAGGTTTTCCCTTCAATATGCCCTTTTACAATTGCAACGATACAGTGGCGCTGAAAGTAAAGTTATATGGTAGAAGAAACCCTTAGTCATACATTAAGGTTAACAGTCAATATGGACTTATGGAATGATAAAGAGTATTGAGAATGACTCATGGCCCTTTCCTAATTTCTGACAGACAACCCTTTGTCTGTATATATCAGTGGGTTCTTATCATTTCTCTTCTTCCTTATGACCCTATACTACAATCCGGGATTTTTTATGATGTGTCAATACTTTCGGGTTTAGTTCTTTTTATTGGGAACTGTCAGTGCTATGCGGGTTTGGTTTTGCGTTTTATTACCTAATATCGCGAGCCAGATGTCAATAGAAAACAAGCGCACGCTTCCAATAGGACGATCACTTTTCGCTGACATGTTAGAAATTTGACGAGAGGGCTATATTCTGTAGAAAGAAGTGAACAATGGTCGCCTAAAAGAAGGGCTTTTTAGTCATACATATATCCATTTAATATTACAGTGCAATATATGGCGCAACTTCCATTCATTTAAATTTGTAATTGTTCGCATATCATGTAAAAAATAGTATTTATTTAAATATTGTGTCTGTCTGTATAGTAGAACTAGATTCCACCACAGTGACTTTTATTTAAATAAACTTTAGAATCAATGAAAATCATATATTGATCAAGATATTTTATTTTAAAACTATGCTTAATTTCCAATAATGTATCAGAAATGTTTTAAACTATAACGCTGTAACTTTTGAAGTTATATAAGGGAAGGAATTTTTTATATCTTTCAAAATGGAAAGATGGGCAATAGAGTGCCTTGCATTGTATCCACTTCATCCACTTAAATTGGTAATTGTTCGTTATTAACTTTATTTTAAAAAACTAGTATTTATTTAAATACCGTCTCTGCATCGTAGGGCTAGATACTTTTATTAAATGTTTTACAATTTTGATGTTCAATGGAAATCAAATATTGATCAAGATATTTGATTATAATTAATGCTATAACATAACAAAAAATATTCGAACTGTAAATCTTTGTTTAAGTTATACAAAGAAAGCTTTTTTATCATTTCATAATGGAAATATGGGCAAAAAGAGAGTTCATTGTAAAATAACCCATTTTGTGTGTTTATGTGTGATTCAGACTGAGTATAGATGATACTAGTGTTACTATGTAGCATTTTTGTGTACATGTTTATATAATATTTTGAATGCTAGCTTATAAATGATTGTTTACTTGTTTATAATTGTATTTCGATGTTTCATGCAAACTACAAATGATGACAGATATTTATGAAATAAATTTATCAACTTTATAAATAATATTTCTTTGCGTGTTTATTAAAATAGTAATAACAAAAGGTTTTAAAGGCAAAATTCTGCTTGCATAAATTCCTTTCTATTGTAGACGGATATCAGATAGCGTTATTTATAACGCCATAGAATACCCTTGGAGATGTTTCTTTGTTTTACTTATGTTAAGAACAAATTAATTTGAGACATTGACAGATAGGAAGAAATATATGATATTCATATTTTTGAGCTTATAGCATTGCTTTTTAATAGAGAAAATGGGTTATTAAGGATTGGTTTCGAGAATTTTTAAGAACGTCTACAGATTTTATGTTTGCCTAAGTACATTGTAGTCAGTCTACCAAAACATAATGATAAGTTTAATGATCTTATTAATATATAATTTATATAAATATATACAGTATATATATTTCTGGCTTAGAGTTCTCTCCTAGCTTTGTTTAGACAAGCAGAATAGCTCTTTACACTTGATATAAATAAATAGTTTCAGGATCTTTGTACAATGGTTGCAGAATGTCAAAAACTTAGAACTGGATCCTTTAATTTGTGTAAATGTACCATGAATTTTAAATGATGTTAAATCATATATATTATCATATATAAAATGTCAAGATATTTCTATGTTCCATTGAATCTGAAAGCACAGATAGATTAATCTGATCATATTCTGCTGTTATTACCTTTATCAATTATATATTAATCTTCTATGAAAGCAACGCTTCAAAGGTTTCGACTTTCTGTTCAAAATGTGTCTTTGTAAAATAGATCTTAACCTATCCATGTAATTTTTTTTCAGACATGTATCAGAATATCTTTTTAAAAAGTAACATTATAAAAGTTACAAAATTACTTTTTTGTAAAGCAAGGGTAGAATTATTACAGAAAAATAACAGAATAGTACAGTTAAGGCACAGAGAAATCTGCAAAATAGCAAAAAAAATTGAGGAGTATAGACGGATCTCTTTAAATCATACATTTCAGGAACATACAATTAAAAAGAACCAAAAGTAATAAAATATTTGAAAAGTGTATTGAAACTTTTGATGTCTTGTAAATTAATAGATTATTTCCTTAAATCACGTAGATGACCATAAAAATATACTCTACATGCGATTTAACAAACGTAAATATAACAATTATATATATGAGGAATAAATAAAGAGGATTTCAAAAGTTAAAAAGTGTGTTGAAAGTATCTAATATTAAACTTGGATTTTGAACTTCGGTTTGCAAAATAATTATTTTAATAAACAAAATTAAAAGAAATGCTCAATATATCAAGTAAATATCAAGTGAAAGTAAAGTAAAGCTTATCGTCATGAACATGGAGTTTTAACTACGGTGTAAAGAAATGAGAAAGTTTACATCCTTAACTAAGTACATTCTGAGATTGCGAGATTTCTGATGAGAATGTTTTCCATAGGAATTTTATAAACAACTGAACCATCCAGAATACAAAATTAAAACTGGTATCCCAGACAATCCTTGTCATATTCCTACAATTACGGCATTTTGAAAAAAATGGAATCTCCACAGATGGACGTGAGATTTGCTTACACCGAAACAAGTCTTTGAAGTTTCCTCGTGTATTAGAGAGATAAGTTAAAGCATGGAGAATAGTTTCACGTCATACTTAAATAAAGATACGTTTTGTTTGATTTTGCTTTAATTTGTAATACAAGGTTCATAGAATCCAAATCTATAAGAGGTTTTTTATTTTTCAATGGGGCTGCGAAAGTGATGAATCAGACAAGAAAACAATCACACAATTTAGCAATCAAGGCCTGTGCAATTGGTGTTTGATATTGATGACATTTTGATGACATTTTTTTCCTATCAGGAACTCTTAAAACTTCTGTTGAATCTTTGGTCCACCTATCATCTATCATCCATCAGAGAAGAACTGATTTGTAAGGACAAAAAATCTTTTGTAATCCTTGAAAATGTTTTGTTATGTACATGTATTTGATCGATTGGAAAAACAGAGAAAGATATTTAGACTATAGCTTTGATCTCCTTAACTATTTACAGACAACTGTTTTGAAAGATTTGGTTTTAAGAGGAGACAATTGCTTCTCTTTTTTATTGACTACAGTCAGTTGTCGCCAAGATTCGAACCTACGATATTTCGACTACAGAGGGGGCGCTCTACCGACTGTGCCGCCATTATAGTACGACCACAATGTAAGACATCCTACAAATTAGTTCGATTTAACCTTAAGGAAAAATATCACAAACTTTTTTTTTCTAAAATTCAGATATCTTGATAAATTAGGTGCCTTTCACTAGAAATGATATTTGTTTAGTTAAACAACCCTATTTTTGGCCAAGCCACATAATTTGGCACAAAGTACAAAAATGCAATTTACAGTTCAGTATGGTTTTTTTTTTAAATTGATAAAATGTATTGTTTTCATATTTTAAAGTTTCTGTGGACATTTTCAATAGTGTATTTTAACACTTTATACTATAATGTGTGGGAGATAAGAAAATTTGTTTGTAGTGTGCATCATTGATTTCATGTGAGTTCAGGGCTTTGTACACATATACATACCGGTATATATTTCATATACTTTTTAACCCGATTGCTTTTATAGTTTTAGTTAAGCCCCTCTGCATGTGTGGTGTATGACGGCCACTTAAAAAAAAAGACTACCAAAATCATCTCTGGTGGTCCGACAAAGTGTCTAAATATCCAAAAAATATATTTGTAATTTATTGATCCATCTTTACCTATAATCTGACACATTTATCGAATACATAATTTTTTGGAAGAATTTAGCTACGCTGCATGACTAACGTGATCTTTTAACACTCTGTTCATAATTCTACTATTAAGAACAAATAACTATAAGCTATTGTGTAGAAAACTTTTAAAAATATATCATTTTCTTTATTCTGTCCTGTGGACAAATAAGATAATGAAAATAATTTAAAATAAATGTTCAATATAAAATCCACGAAATGAGTCATACATGTAATCTATAAAAGTATTTTATCATATCCCTACAGTCCTTTTACTATGTATGATATTTTTCCCTTATTGAATATGCTAATGCTGTTTTTCATTTATTACTCATTATACACACATTAGTAGGCCAGGGCTATGCTCCTCTATATAAATATTATTATTACCGTATATTGTAATAAACATCAAAACAAGGTTACGTATAAGGAGCCTCGTTTACATATCTGTCGTGGAATAACGACTGCTGCATAGTCATAATTCATCCACACACACGACAAGTACCGCCTCCAACTTACCGCTAGAACAGCGACTATCTCATAACAAAGGAAGACCTGTCCAGCAAATTTAAATACAGTGACACTTTACATTTACGGCTAAATAACACAACAATTTTTTTTCCCAGAAATCAGCAATATTTTTTCAGAAATTCATATAAAAAAGGTAACATGAATAATGGTTGTTGGGTCAAGTTGAAATATTTTGTAAAATTTTGTCACAAAAACGTGTACAATTTTTTTTGGTACAAAGAAA